GTACACGTGGAATGACCCTTATACGATTTTATAACATTTGTATAATATGTATATGTGTTATACTATAATATATTATTTTTATAAGTCATTATTTATTATACAACAATTTTGTATAATCAAATATATGATGTTTTTCTAAATACATAGTATTTTTCCTAAACGCTTTATTTGCAAAATATGTAATATTTAACTGCCGGTATTATGGCTTTTAATGGGAACACTTAAAGATTTAAGCAATAAATTATAATAATTACAATGTATGAAATTATTAAAAATAATTAATTTTGTAAAAATAAATGCATACCAAGTCACGCAATCAGTAATGTCTGTCAATTACATGGATGTAAACGGATCCCCGATCCGTTAAACACGAGTTAACATCAATACCTATTAAGAAACGCTTCAAGCAAAATGTTTGCCATACTATAGTAAATATTTAATAAAGACATTGTATTGTCCAATTAGTTTAAAGAGCCATACATTATAAATAATTGCTTTGGCTAAAATTAAATGGGGACAACATAGAATTTTATTGTTTTGTTAGGTGTTTGTCTACAAAAATTATTTATGTTTAAGAAATACAGTATTTTGTATACAGCTCTATTATGCGTGTGCACTGTGTAGGCGACATATCAAAAGTTATAATAAAATAGTTTCAATTTATGCAATCCTTAATAAGGTATGTTATTAATAAGACATGTCACGTGTGTAAATAGTCTAAAAGAGACTGTCTAAAATTATTCTGATTCATAAACAGTCTTCGTTGTGTTAATAATGAATATTCTGTATAATGTATGTGTGGAAAAAAAAACTATCACCCAAATTAAAACAGTTAATTAAAGTCAACATTACCTACACTCATTGTATTTTTATTACTTCTAAATTTATGAATTGTTAATAGATAAAATATAGTATTTTAAAAATAAACGGCTATGACGTCTGACGTATGTATTCGTAATTGCTGGCGATTGATTAATTTACATAACTTGGCATTATTAATAAAAATCTAGCAAGGAAAAAACAGGTTAGACATTATGTAAGTGGAGTCAAGGTATGTATAGCTATTAAATTTAAAGTGAGTTATTTACTGACAAATATAATTTTAGTCCCTTATTTTCAACTTAAAATTTATGCAGGACACTTTTATTTCAATATTTTGTACATAAAATAGATTTAGGTTAAGTATTTAAACATAACAATTGATAGCGCTCTGGAAAATTATACTTATATTTGATAATAACATAAGTAGGAACACAATTTTTTCAGAAAGAAACACGTAGCAATTTTTGATTATTTTCCGAGAAAACGAGTCTTAATTAAACGGATTGCCCCGTGTAAAAATTAAGAAGCCTTAGACCGAAAGAAGCATCTTCTTATTTTAACGGAACTGCGATTTTGCGCGAACGAGTGACAGCGTCCATTCGGAGTATTTTTTTTTTTATACATAAATATTCTGTACAAAATATTGTCTTGTTTACAATAAAACTGTTGGCTGATAATCGTTGAGACAATATATAAATATATATATATATACTTTGTTTACTGACCCGTTATAAAACCCAATAAACGTCAACACGTCAATAATTGATGAACTGTAGTAGCCGTCAGAACTCACTGAGAATCGTATTTGATGCGTTTAATTGATTTGATTTAGAAATGGTCAACAAAAATACTAAGTCGCGCCGAGTGGACGACGAGGTGTTCGAGGATTCTGACGCGACGGTATTGTATAGCGACGACGAATCATCCGTGGCGTCGGCCGCCGTCGGACGGCACCGCACCGCTAGCATGGCTTTTGATACCAGCGAACCGAGTGACGCCTGCAGGCGGCGCAAGCGCAGGTGCCGCCGCCGCCGCTCGAGGAGGAGCTGTCGGAGACGCCGCCGCAGCTGTATACCCCGCAGGAGGCGCAGGCGATCGTGCGCGAAAAAGTGCAGCGAGGACGATGAGTCTACCTCGACGGAAGGTTGGAGCGACGGCGAGGAGTCTGACGAGTTGGACTTGCCCAACGAAGCCGGACGTCGCTATCTCAGCCCTTCGGTTACGCCGATAGCTCGGCTGGGCATGGCCGCTAGTGACGCGAGCTCGCGCAGGTGCCGGCGCCGCAAACGTTCGTGCCGGCGTCGCAAACGATCGTGCCGTCGCCGCAAACGATCGTGCCGCCGCCGCCGTCGCCGCTGCAGCACGGGCGAAGAAGAGATGGATGACAATAACATGACTCTCGCGGACGGGCCGACGTTGAGACGTCGCAATCGTAGCCTCTCGACCGGCAAATTGCGTTTACCCCGCACCGCGCCGTCCACTTCCGCCGACAAGAGTGTGTAATCATGTGTTCGTTGTTCTAAGTGGTTGAAAATATTCCAAATTGTATAAATTACTTTTACTTTTTTAAACTTATGACATTTATATGTCTTTGGCTATGGCACACACACGGAAAATCGACACCGGTTATCATAACAAAAAATAACGGCTGATTTATCTGTTTAGATAAGAGAGATAAGAGAGATAAAAGATATGGTTTTTACTTTGGAACACGACATCGGTTATCATAACGAAAAAATCAGCTGATTTATCTGAGATAAGGGAAGGAGATAGTGGGTAAGAGATAGTGGGTGAGAGATAGGGATAAGAGATAAAGGTTGGGATTGTGGGTGGGAATAGGAGGGGGCATATGTTGTATTCACAACGTTCAAAATAGAAACGAATAAAAATTCAATAATTTAAGGGGCCAAATTCTGGGCCAGATTTTATGAAAATACTAAAATATTAGCCAGAAACTTGATATGATTACTAGCCACCTTAGATACATAAAAATGTATCCCGTGGTGTTGCGGACTCGTACGCAAGCTGTTAAAATATAATATGTAATACCTATGTGAAAACCTTTAATAGAGCCTCGGGCCTCCATTATGAATGAATGATTGTTTAATAATTGGCCTTAATCGATATATTTTGCTAGTAATTCATCTAAAATTCTGAAGACTCTTTTTGAATAACAGTTGGACTATTGCTATGACAATTACAGATTATTGATAAGAGAATCAGCTAAAACGGTCGAAAAACTGGGCATGACCTCCACTGCACGGAAGTACGTAGGAACAAGTATAGGACCCTGGTACTTTTCTAATATCTAATCTTTTATCTCTTATCTCTAATCAACCCTCTCCTCACCTTCGCCGACGAAGAATTTATTCTTTAGTTGTCATATAATTTTAACATTTTGGGGAAACTACAAAAATGCACATAATATAAATATAAAACGATTAATTAAAATATGAATTTTAACCAGTGCATACTATACCAAGTTCAGTATAAATCAGTACGTAAGAAGTTAATAAAGTCGAATCAAAGCGATTATGAAATCAGAATAATATGTATGATTTCATTACAATCAAACGCTATGCTGCGAAACTACAAATACTTAATACAAATCCAGCCCAGTATAAACCAGCACAGTCTAAACCAAACAGAGACAAATCCAGCTCAGCAAGAAATTATCAAAGTAGAGTACAGTATCCAAGTAAATGCCTCCAAAAAATTGTATCCCCTAAAAAACGGGGAAACGGTTGAAAATTGGGTTTAAGGCAATTTGTAGACAGAAGTATACCATTGCCTAATAAATAATTTTATACAAATTTCGACTTAATCCGATCGGTTATAACACATCAAACTTAAAAGTTGAAAGCCCTGTCAAGTTGATAAACCGCATACGATTTCGGATCTATAAGTGCTACGAAGTAATTCGGTTAACAGAAAAAACGTTATTGTGTCCTTAGACACAACAAAAAAACAACCAAAATAAGTAGTATATTTTTTAATAATTGATTGATTACATTCCAACGCATTATATATTATGGTTAGTTGGTAAAAATCCAATTAAATAATTTAAGCTAATTTAATTTAATTTAATCAATTTAAGAATTTAATTATATTTTCAAATGAAATCGCCATTTATTGATTACTTTATATTACTAATGATTCATGTTTAAAGTCTAATTGAGGCCTTTTTAAAATGTGAGTAACTACATAACATCATTAAAATGAACATAAACGTTAAAGTGATTCACACATCTTCAACCCTGCAATTACATAAGGCCTCTAATAGTTGCTTATAACTGGTAACTCAAAAATAAATGCATAGTTCAAAAATAAAATGTTTATTATCAAAGATCGTTTAAGAGTTAAATAAATTCACACCTTTCCTATCAAAATCGATGGAGTATTTTTACTATTCTGATTCATAATAATGCCAATCGCAAGTTCCAATCCCAAAATATGCACCATTCCCAGTTGCCTGCAATGTATAAATAATTATTTCTTTTTTTGCTTTTGCTGTATTCATAGATCGTATTGTATAAGGTCTACGCTATGTACGATTGTTTCGAACTAAAACGTTGTTATTATTATTGGTGTAAACTATAAAAGTGGACTGTTTTATGGACCATGTTTACACCAGATAAGACTATTGATTATAGCTTTATGGCTAGGACTTATGTACAAAATGCAGCAGTCAAGTCCTTAATCCACTTACTAAATAATTATTGCCATTTGGCATTTCGTAATATACTATAATAACATAACGAGAACACACAGCAAACAAACTTAAATATTTTTAAAATGCTGTCAAACTTGTTATGTTGTAACTTGTAAGTATTGCATTTTTTGTCGTCAGTCCCCTTTATGTACAGGGTGATTCATGATTTTCTTGGAAAATGATTCCAGTTTTATAGTTTTTATTTATATTATTCAATTATAATATACAGTGTTAAGCAAGAAATTAAATCAATATGAGTTTGCAACTCAATATTGTCGAGTAAGCGAAGATACTCGTAATGAGTTAGTTGATACTGATTTGGAGATAAATTTAGGAGCATCACATATTTTATATTTATGTACACCATTTTAAGCAGAAGAATTAATATAATATAATAAACAAAAGTATTTACAAATACGAAAGTACAAATAATTAATTATGTACACAGATAATACAAGTGGGAGGATTAGAAATATTTTCTGTATGCGGAAGTAAGCGTTTCCATATAGATAAACAGCAACACGGTAGCCGGCGCTATTCGCAAATAATAAAATGGTAACCCTTTCCACAAAGCCGTCACTCCTTCTTGTTTTATTAGTTTATGAGCAGCGTCAACCATACCTGAGTATTCGCCTTTGCCGTCGACGTATTTTTGTTGCTGAATTCTTCAGAATAAAAAACAAATAAAAATTAATAACATAATTATACTCTACAACGACTAATTAGATTGGCAACTGTTAAATAATTATTATTTTAAAAATATATAATAGTTTGTTATTGTTAAAATCGATTAGGTACAACAATGACCAACGTAATGTAGATTTCTAGCTACTAACCGATTGCTCAGAACCGGCAGGGAGAACTAACTGTACTATAGACTAAAATATAGATTATTTATATTTTAATGTACTTTTATAAATAATACAAATAATAACTTATAGTCGAGAGGCGGCCTTAGAAAATAATGTCAATTAACTCCATCGTTATCAGTTGCCAGTTTAATAAAACAAACACGTTCACGAAATTCACCAATTAAGCATTGAGAGTTGTAGTATATAAGTACGATTGTGAGGTTCAATGGCGGGAAGATATTTCACATTAAAACGTGAAACTCGAATAATGTTGATCACACTAATCGTTTTATTTAAAATTACCAATACAAATATATAATAGATCATTGAATTCGAAAGCCAATCTAACGTTTTTTATTAATTGTTAATATTTATATTGCCATTATTATGCCAGAATTAAAATATGTACATAAAATTATATCCAAAAAAACAAATTTGATTTGGATTTTGAACGGTATTTGGCGGTATTTATTATATTATTAATTAAATTCCTAACCTGTAAAATCATTTAGCTATAGTAGCGCTCAACGCAAAAGTGGTAAACGTTTTTGTCTATTGGGCATTTTGAGATGGTGAGCGGGGTCTATATTATGCAAGCAGATCTTGACAGTTATAAATCAAACGGTTGGTAGCCAAAATTTCTAATTGCGTGGCTTTGCTGTTTAAAACAACTTTTGGAAAATAGTTATAAAAAAACTCTTCTAATTGAGTGAGCTATGGTTAACGACTGTTTACCTCGTTTTGAGTACATCCATCGGACAAGAACACACGGCATACACTGCTCCGGATACCATGCTAGAAGCCGTGTGAAGACCTAATCCGTCTTTCATACCCTCTAAAAAATAATAAATACTTATTAAGTTTTCGACAACATACTCCAAATTTAAAAGGAATGCTATGTAAGTCGAATTGATAGTTTTTATATATATTTTTTTTAAACATAATTACAAAATTACTATTATTTTTCAGGAGCTGATGTGATAATGTGACCTTTGAAAATTGTGAATTTTCCCATTTATGAAAAAAGAAGATATTTATTGTGTTCTTTGTAGCAAAATTTTCTATTTCATACTTATATTTTCTGAAAAAATTTAAAGTGCACACAAGGATATTTTTACGTCGAGATCAACAAGTAGAATTTTTATATCTAGACCTCTCCCCCCCCCCCCCCAAAAAAATGCTTGTGAAATGACTACGGTTCTAAGGTTTTTAGGCCCGAAGCGAAAGATTTTTTGGTCCCACGTGACATTCGCTAGATCGATCCTGGTGAAACGGTTACTAATTTATAAACTATTGACGAGAAAAAACGTTACTTTTTTCCGACAAGTACGATTTAGCATGATCATAAGACATCAACTGCGTAACGTTGGCTACCATTGCCCTGGACACGGTTGGTACTGTTCCCCGCCAAAGTCCAGCGATTCCTTCATCCTTGCCGATCCTTGAGAGTGCGTCGAACACGTGTTTGTAGTTGCGCCTTTGATCCGGTGGTAATCGACCATCAGCCGTCATTCGAACAACAGCCACCTGTTGTATCACAAAAAATTTGACACGATTTTAGTTCAGTAAAATTAAATTATGGGCTGAATTAAAAAAAAAAAAAAAGTAAACTTATCGACGTACGTCGGCTGGAGTAGATATCATAGCGGCAAACGCTCCTGTCGAGCAACTGTTTATTATCTGATAGAAGAAACCTGTGTAACCTCGCCTGAAAGTAATAAGTGTTTTTTATTTACAAACTGCAGTGCCTCAAAAATCCTTCGTTAATATATTTTTATAACAAGATAGCTGATAGCAGTAGCGCAAGATTGTGTAAGTGGGAAGAAGGGCTAACCTAATCTAATTTAAGCATCTTCATTAAGAGGACGTATACTTTTTGGTTATATACAATAACTAATTTTAAAGAGTATGATTTTCTACATATTAACTGGGTTTACACAAATTTGGAGTTACACGAATGAACGATCCATTTGTAATGTAATTTTATATTATTTAAATATCAAGCTAATAACAAATTAATTTTTGATACGAGACTGATAAATTATTGGTTTTACGATAATGCGTGTATGTTTGTGTCTGTAAGCATGGCATTTTTTCCTGTGGTTTTATATTTAAAATAAATATGAATTTTACATATGAAATTAAAATTGTATATTAGCTTAATTCGAAAAAGAGTTGTGGTTTATTTATAGCTCAGGACAATAAATAAAATTACGTTTTTTAATGCATTTTACAATACAGACGTTTAATATGAAATTACACCCAGGAAGATAGATATTACCTATAGAACTGTTGTTTTCCAAAATTTTAACTATAGGTAAAAAGGAGATTCGGTACTACTGTTTGCATACACTTACAACATAAAGTCTGGATTTAAAAGTTTAAACTAAGTATTGATAAAATATTACAAGTAAAATAAACGAAATAGCGTTATGTATATTATCCATTTGACTGGTCGTAACATTTCAAGTAATCGAGAAGTCAAGGTAAGCGTATATAGGCAGGTATTCAATATGAAGAAAAATTAATCGGAGTTTAAAGGAAGCGCAATTACATGACGTACGATAGATCGGTTTTCCGAGTCATGTGGTAATCTAATCGTACCAATTACACAATAGTGCTAAATTTCCTAATTACAATAGTAATAGGAAGTATTTAATTATCTTATGTCATATTATGCTATTGTATTTAGAACAATAACAACGTACATAATGTTTTATTAAATGTGCTAAGTTCAAGTTCGACTTATCGAGAATTTAGACAAACATTTTTCTGTTAATAATAAATATGCACCTTTATGATAACCTGCCAATTTTTTTAACAATAGTAGAAAATTATAAAATTATAAATAGATTGAGTAATCAAAACAAGACAAAACAAAAAATAATTACTCAATATATTAACTGATTCGCACTTCAGATAAAGATGGGCAATTCTTTCTAAAGCAAAAAACAACAACAAATAGATTGCAAACGATATTTTTTATAATGTTACTCCTCAGACCTCATGGCTAGTAAATACGTTTGTTTAACCTTAATTTAAACCCAGTTAAATTAAAATTTATAGTTTCCTGGAAAATTGACTTATTATTGTTATCCATTAGAAAGAAGAAAAACTTAATAAATTATATCCTAATTTTTAAATATTTTTGTTGTTGAATTTATGAACCTAACAATCGGTTTTTAACCGAATAACTTTTTAATCGATTAATATGAAATTAATTTCAAACCCTAAATAGCCATGAATATTTATAAACTAAAAAAAAAAAAAAAAGCCAGTACAGTGGGGTCGGGGCATAGTGGGGACGAAGAGGAAAATTTGACTACAGATTTTTGAGAAAATTGTATATGTTATAGTTCCATTTTAGATATACCTTTGGTCTAATTTTCAGACCTAAATCTCTAAAACTTTGCTTGACAAAGTGAAATAAAGAAAAAAATGCTATCCCTTCGAAGAGAAAAAGTTTATGATACTTTTTTGGTTTTTAATGTTTATCGATAGTACTATGTTTGAAGAACAATTCAATCCAATTATAAATTTGGAACATTTTCGACTATTTTTAAAAAAGTTATAGAGCATCGTAATTTTAAGTTGAAAAATGTTTTAATTTTTTAGGTGTTTTTCTCGATTTTAATGGGGAAGGGGTGACTTTTTTTGGTAACACTTTTTTTCGGCTATGTACCGGCTAATTCTCACCCCCAACCCCATTCCCATTTCCACCCCAACCTCATCTTTAACCCCATTTCTTTTTTGGTAACGCTTTTTTGGTAACACTAAGTAAATAACGCTTTTTAGGTAACGCTTTTTTCGGTTATTTGCCAGGGTTATGTGCCAGAGCTAAAACATGAAAATGTCAAAAAATAAAAACACATCATTGTAAAAACAATACCTTCTCAGCTCCGCACCGAAGCTAAAATATGCAATAAAAAAATGTACCCCTTTACTAAACGGTTGAGTTATTTTTTTACCATAGTCAATTGTAAACTTACAACAAGACTATATATAATTTATTATGTATATAATTATATACATTATGTCTATATATAATGTATCATACAATAAAATATAATATGTATTATTTATGTATAGTTCTGTTTTTTTTAACTTACTGTTTCAATTCGTCCGAAATGGTATTGTAGGCGCCAATTCTCGTGGACGTGTACACTACTTGTCTGGTCAAATTAGCCGATAGTCCCTTGTAAAAGCCTGAAATACTTTCATTTTTCAAAATGTTCTTTATGGCTTGTAACGAATTCTTATGATCCTTGGTCGAACCCCCTTCGCCACTGAGCTGCATGCGGAACTTGAGAACGTCCAACGGATGGACCATACCGGATGATCCCATTCTGGAAACGTGACAATTAAAATATTTTAAATCCTAACGATAATTAATCTGTATACAGATATTTATTGAATTCGACATTATTATGTATACCCAGATAATCCAGCGATAATAAACTGCGCCGTAGACGATATATGTTTTTCTGATGACTTTCCCGACATTTTAACTAGGTATAACGGTTATGCAATATGGAAATATAAAAATTGGTTACATAAAAAACCAAACCAGCACAGTAACTAAACAAAATCGTCTAAGAGTCAATAGTATGGTAACCATATGTATATCGTTTATTTTAAATTACAAGATTTCAAGCCAACATTTATTTATATTATATATTGTTATAATACTACTTATTTTTTTCAAATCCAAGTTATCATTCATTCCCATGAATGGAGTAAGTATAGAACTATAATTGAAATTGGATTTTAATTACTATGGAATTTTCGTTATCCTTGGTTCTAGTTAAATTTATCTACTGAAGTCGCGGTATAAAAAGTAGTTATTTTCAAATAATTTTATTACAATTTATTTGTTTTTCGAAATTTTGTTCTTATAATTCCATTATAAAGGTCATTGTTCTTCAACAATTTTAATAATATATTTTAATCGGGATCAGGATAGTGACTCAATTTTGTTTACCGTTTTTAACATTAAAATAAACGAATTTAGATAATAAGTTAATCGAGATCTTTAATTAGACACCTGTAAATAATTTTCATTGAACGATAGTAACTCTTATAACGATTATCAAATGCTCTGTAAAATGAGACGTGTCTTTCCGCACACGAAAAGCAAATAAACATGCCCTACATTCAGGCACGGCGCCAGAATTTTTTTCTTAGGGAGGCGGGAAAGGTCAAGTGAATTTTTTGGAGGGGCAACCACAATAATTTTACCTACTTCTGTCAATAAAAACAATTATAATGATTTATCAGTGAATGACTTTAATATTTATAAGTAAAATAGTATAAAATATGAATTTATTACAGATTAAGGGCCAATATATACTAGTGTACAATTTAAGTAAGGCAACTTTTTTAAATAAGCGTTATTTTTACCTGTCGGCCATCATATAGCTCTTATTGTACTCTATGAAAGTCGAAGTAAAAATGAAGGCTTATAAAACGCCCAACAACCAGTCAGTGGAGATTATAGTTATCGTGTTATACCTACATTCTATTAAACCCAAACAATCCGTCAATAAACACTGCATTTTTGGAAAACACACACAAACGTAAATATTATAATTATATATATATATACACCAAAACACATAATTATATGGACGACGGATTATTGATAACCGATTGCAAAAACACTCAAAAAATATTGATAAAAATAGGCCACATTTGGTGGCAATGTCATAACTAATAACTAAACTTGTATAGATAAACAGGTTTAAATCAAAACAACAATTGTTTTCACAATTTCCGTAATAACTAAATTTGTATATATAAAAATACAGTTATTTAAAATCTGGGTTTTAGGAATAATAATCAAATATTTAAAATTATACTATTTAGCAAAATATCTGGGGGGGGGGGCGAGAGAAGGGCAAGAATTTGTTATGAGGGGGCGACCGCCCACCCTCGCCCCCCCTTGGCGCCGTCCCTGCCTACATTAAAAATATCATGGACAAAGTTTTATATAGTTATACGGAGTGTAACAGAATTTACAGAAACAAATGTCGCACTCTACGAATGGTACGAATGGTACTACATAGAATATAATTTTTTTAAATCAAAAACCCAGAATTTACCGGGTTTATTTGTAAAAAATATATATAAAATAAACCATACCGTGGAACTTCCCGAAAAATGTTCTCATAAAAAAGGAGTCACTCGATTTGTTTATTTTTAGTGACAAATTTCCCATAATCAGTTTCTACAATTAATTTAATCGTATTATCCTGTAGAAGATCATTAAATAAGATAAAACCGAAAGGAATAAATCCCTAAAAAATGTCTATAGTAATTCATGAGTCACACCAAATTTATGATTTTGGAAATAATAAGTCAAAATTTGCGGTGGTAATGATCTTTTTTTGTAAAAAATCGAGTGCCCCTTTATTTTATTAGGGAATTGTTCAATTTTTATTTTTGATGGATATTTCACAAATACAATCCGGAAAACCCCGAGTTTTTGACATTAATATAAATTTAAAAAAACATATTCTTGAACCCCCTCTATGTGGCACTACTCATAGAGAACGACATTTGTTATTGGGATACTCTGTATAATTAAACAACGTCTATTAATATTCATAACACATAAAATAAATTATAAAAATAATACGATGGTCGATGAGTATATTTTAGTTTAATAAGCTTAGTACATAATCAAGTGACATGTCAAAATAATTAATAGTTTCGAAAGTAAAGTTACCACGTCCTGTGGCATCGTATCGTAGCAATCTTTGTTTGTGGTTGTTAGGCGTTCTAATAGAAAACAACAACAAACAAAACATTGTTTTTTTAACTAAATAAAATTAATCAGAAAATCTAAGTACACCTAAATACATACATAGTCAGTGTGCTGAAATGAACAAAGAGCTCAACAATGCCAAAGATGACACAGTAACCACCAACAACAATAGGCAAGTAATCTCAGACAGCTCGGATTCCATTTTACTTGTTACGGTCGATATCACAAAGTCCAGTGGACTTTTGGCCAAGAATTTAGAAAGCATGAACACTATTGAAGAAAACTCAGACGACGCACAATCAGTTACGACCGACCTAATATCAGACCGTAGAGAATTTGCCGGTGAAACAATGGCGATAAATTCGACAACGAACGAAACGAATTCCATACAACACGGGCCGCCCATGTCAAATTTAGATGGTACTGATTTAGAGCTCAAAAAAAAAAAACCTTAAAAATAACTAGTAACTCGATGTGCGATATGCTTATAAAATGTCATCACATATCTACATATTATACTCTATCGCTGATTTCCTCAAAAATATAAGTGTTTTAAAGTGTCAAATACAATTAGGGTTTTTGATGAACATAGCGCACAGGTGTAATAATTGTATTTTTTTAGAAATGCGAGCTAAGTACAGTAATAGATACCCAATATAGTTGTCTATAAATTAATCAAACCTAATATTGGAAGCTAAAAATCCAAATTTTCGCTGCTAGAGGCCATATTAAGTTCATTAAATATGTGGAATGATACAGTTTCAAAGGTCATTCCTAAATTATTTAAAAACTCACTTATGATACCTGCGTAGTATGCTATCGATATTATTGGCCACAGATTTAGTCATGCTATGAAACTAAAGTCATTTCTAAGCGTTTACCAAATGAGGCTCAGGAGCCAAGGAAACAGGTAAAGGGTGGAGTGCGGTTTTAGAATTTTTATAAAAATGTGTTTGTAAATTATTACCTTTATAGTAATAGTACCTTTCAATAACCACAACGTAAGCCGGCTTTCTCGGATAAGGCCGCCCATGTAAGACCACATGTCACAAGTTTTCAAGCCGATAACCGGGGTTATATATTATACTTGAACCTTTAGACTATATTTACTCCTAATATTGCGTTAAGAGTAATTCAATAACAGCTATATTCTATTAACTTGCCTTCTCATTTTAGGCACACTATCTGATTTAATTGAATAGCTGGGCTCTTTATTTTCGGCGACATCTCTTATCTCTACCTAAATATAATAGTAATTAGGTCACAAGGTTATGAATTGTGGACAATATTAAATGCTTCATAGAACTAAATTATGAAAACGGAGGCGGTTGATACAAAATGAAACTATGAGTTTTGCCAGTTGGATTAGGCCGAATAAAACCAAAAGGACGTACCAAAAAGAACAACGTAGAATGTGTAGGTACGTAAATGGCGACCGTGATTTGCCAACACCTGCCCACTTCGTATACGACATTGTTTAAACAATAAAACACAAGCATTAAGCGTGCGTTTACCAAATATAGATGTACAAAAATTCGATTTCATACAATAAAATAATAATTTTCGTTTTACAATAAAAAAAATAATAATAATGAAATAAATTAATCGAAAAACTCGACCCAATCTGTACTATATTATCAGTTACAAGTTTATGCGGGTGGCGAAGTGCTATGCAATAGCCTTCGGACGGTTATAATAATATTGTAATACCTACCCACGCCATTCGTGGTGTATAAAAACATATCTTGTTAAAATATCAGTTATCTTGCGTTGGTTTATCGAGCCTAAAAAAATAACTACAGCTAACAAATTAATCGAAGGAGTGTATGCAAAATGTTTAATGGCGCGCACTACTCTTATAATATTATATATAGACTATAGTTTAATAGGTAATATATTCATATCCATTAGTAAAATGATATTTATGTAATGGATTTATAAAAACAGCTAAATAGTACGTTATACTGGGTTACGGACTATGGTAAATTATTATTATTTTTTTTTTTTTACTATTATCATCATTAAATATAAATAAAAAAATCAAACATTCACATCACGAAAGATGTCTAGGGATTTAAGAAACTAGTTAAGCAAAAAGAAAAAAACTTTACATACATAAGCATTAGACGCAAATTCGTTAAAAATATTGGAGGTAATCAAATTCCGACTTAATTATTCGATTTTTGGGGCACTAATTTCAAAACTAGAGGTGCTATGCATAAAACCCTAATTTGAAAAAAATAGTTTACAAATTAAAAAAACATTCAACCACATAATAGATTTAATCTATTCTGTGATTCAACTCTTGTGCATTTAAAAATGATCCTGATGAAAAGTACTAATGTCTATTTCGGTTTGTTGTGGCCTTTAAGACAACAATATTTTATCTCAGTTAAAGTCGTCGCCGTAGAATCAAAGGGACCAACCAAAAATTGTTTTTTTTTTGTTCAAATTAAATTTAAGTCCTTAATTAAAACATTTCCTATTAATTTAAAGTATAATAATTTGTAATGCAATTGAAAGTAAAGGTTAACTTAGATAATTTTGTTTAGAAACGTAATAATAGTTATAGTTTTTAATAGATTGAAATTTGCCTCCATGAAAAAATTTACATTGGTGAATACGTCCCTCTGATTCTACGGCAACGAAGTGTTACACTATAAAATTGTGACAATAATTTTTCCCGCCATCAATAATTAAATTTGTAAAGTGTAAATACAAAATTTATTATTTATTTACGATTGAAAAATAATAGTTATTAATTTTGTATGGAGCAAAGTTTTTCAAAAGAATATGATTTATTATTCATCAAAAGCATGACAAAGTATGATAAATCCAAATAGATTATAATATTTTAGAACTTGATAATTTTGTTCGAAAATGTTAGCACAATTATAGAACAGAGAGATGTCAAGAATAAAGAAGTTTAGATACAGCTATCGGTGTATTTAACAGTATACTGATACATCTATTCGAATGGAAATAATATCGGACTACTTGATTAAGTATGTAAGACTACTACGACATAGTTCATAAATCATAATAATAAATATAATAGGTATTACAAGCTAACTAGCTTATGAATTTGAACCCCACACTCTAAAGATGTTTATACACATCCTACTATACTTCGGAAAATATAATTATATGAAGACAGATTTATTTTAAATTTGTATACTTCGAAATGGTAATACTTGAATTCAGTTTTTATTTAATATCTAAAAATGTTAAACTTAAATGATGATATTTTCTTTTGTGAACAAGAATATTTTTAAAAATCTGATTACACTAATCATGTAAAAAATAACATTAATACAATAGATGAAATTAAATATTATCTGATTATCATAGTTATATTTCAAAATTGTTAGACGTTTCCTCTATAAATAATAGGTATGATAGGTGGCGGAAAAGGTTTTCAGAGTTTCGAGGCTCGCAAATTACTAAATAGGTATGAAATAGTAAATACTATACTAGTTATAGCAACATAAAAGTTCGTACCACAATTATTGCAAATGAACTTAGATAGATTTAGCGATTCTCTAAAATATGAATTATTCCATTCCTACATGAAAGATATTGATGACAATTGACAAAGCTGAACGCATTTCTCAGTTATTATTAAACAAAATTACAGAAAAACAAATTATAAACCTCGTTTTTAATAATATGGTACATAGTTTAATAAAATTGTAATAACTTTGTGAACTGTATAAAATTAAAAGTTATTAATATACCGGTCCATTTATTGTAGATATAATACATTAATTTTTTTGTAAAATGATGTAAATATACATTGAAAATCGATTTACTAAGATTATATAATATGCAATTTATTTTAAGTTTGTTGTTAAAACCAATGAATGCAACAAGCACCAGCCAAAAATCCGTATAATCTGAGCGCACGGAAGTGCGCCAAGCCAAGTGCTATAGCAATGCCAGTGTATCTTTACACGAACCAATTCACCCAGTTTTTCTAATCCACATATCTCTGTTTCCTCTTAAGATATGCTTTTGAAATTTGAAACGCAGATTAGGCTCGAGTAGTTTCTGAATGAATCATAAAACATCATTATCAAATTTACTCACTTAGGAGTTACGTGGGTGATAGGAAGGAGATAACTCAGAAGAAAAGAAAAAAGGTTCAGATCCCCTCCAAAAAAAGTCAGCCAATGTCTTTTTAATGATCGAAAAAATCTCTCTTACAACACTGGGTTTGTTTTATTTTTCTCAAATATAGCTAATAAAATATTTTTGATCTAAAATTTTGGTGGAGTTGACGCTTAATAGTTTATTAGTTATCGGGTATAGACTTACTTTATTTTGACACGTCTTCTGACATTAATTAATATATACCTACACATTATATTTACATACCTATTATGCGGTAACCGACACGGCTCGGCGATTGACGCCGCACCGTGTACGGAAGTGTGCACCTGTCATAGCCAGTTTGAGAAACCCTGAATGCTGATAACTGTTTTTAGGTTTGAACTAGTAAACATTGATTTGGTTACTTGTAACAGCAGCCGCTGCCAGCTGCTATGGCTGTGGACTGTTGCCTGTTAATGCACAGTCCGTCTGCATAACGGTCAGTCGTTGTCGATCTGTTTGCGTACCTATGTTTGCCTACCCCAACGTGTTAAAAAGTTTTACTATAAAAAAAGGAAAAAACTACCAATGCTTTTTTCTATAATGCCACTCATTAGAGCGTTTACTTAGCAGTTAATTACCGTTTGTTACGCAGTCATGCTTTATCTAAAAATCATAGCCATACCGTGTTTGGTTTTGTCCAACGAATTTGTTCACTCGACTCGTTCAACGACCGATTTAAATATCCACCCCGAGCATGTACCTTATGTATTGTTCTCAGAAATCTCGCAGACGACAATCGACAAACCTACAAGCGTATGAAATGTGCATTTATTTTTCTAGATTTAATTTCGATTAATGTTTCGACAAGTATTATTGTTTTTCATTTTATAGCGATGTTGGGGATATGAACGTAACTGTAGCAGACAACGGCGATATTCAGAACCCGATTGTCCTGGTTCGCAAACCGGCTGGGCACCAACAAAAATCGAACAAATCGACACATTCTTCAATCAAGGAGATTTCGGTTACGTTAAGCAACAGAGAGATGAACTCACTTACATGTGTGAACCTACCAATCCAGTAAATTCAACTGTTAAAAATCTTAATTTAATTTGGTCAGAGGTGCAAACAATATATTGACTTGGGATTTCTATAAATAAAATCGAGCCTACATGAAAAGTTAATGAACTAAAGAGCTAAAATATTTAATGTATTTGATTTAAAATTGTCTTAGATCCGTTTTAAATGGTTATTAGACTTTTTCGCCTTTTAAGTTGTTTGTCAAAGAAGAATTTAAAAAAAGAATGTATGGGTTGTAGTGTCAACCTACTTGGGTACTTTTGACAGCCAAAGGAGAAAAACGTAAACTTCTTCCTATTTATATTCGAAAACAATTGACATATTTTTCACTTTACTAATGTAGTTAGTAGTACCATTAGCTACGCACACAGTATCACAAAATCAATGTATGTAATGTAATTAAGTGTACAAGAACTGATTTTAACTGATCTTAACAGAATTGTTTAATAAGTTACATAAATTCATCAAAATTGTATTTCTAAAATCGCTTAAATAAAAAAATTAAAAAAATAATCTTCTTTTTTTTTTAAATTAGTAGTTTTTTTTATTTATAAATAAAATTATTTGTAACACAATAAGTAAAAACATATCATAATTAACTTAAGTTTATTTAAACATATTTTTCATAAATACCTAATAAATATTTAGATATATTTTTATATTTACACAAACTTTACACAACATTTCAAAAGAGTGATAGAAAAAAGTTATTAAAAGTAATAACAAACAAATAATATAGTGTTAATTTAAAAAAAAACGTAAATAAATTGTTTGATCAAATACTAAATAATAAACAATTTGGAAAAAAATAGCTATTAACAAACAATTATTCCATAAGTTATTGAAAAATAAATGATTAAACATAAAATAGTTTTTATTAGTCTAGATATAAGATATAAAATTGTTTAAATAATGCACAAATCTTGTTATATCTTATTTTAATTTTTTATCCAGGATGATTCATCATTGGAGTGTACAAATCATTTAAAATTTTGTCGAGGTCATAATATTAAGATTGACTTCAAGAACTTATTAAATCAAGATCGACCCTTTCGTTATCAAATGGATGTACTAAGTGATGGACAAATAGGTGGAAAGTGCAAGTAAATTATGTACAAATTATTTAATTATCTGATAATTTTTTTTTTTAACAGCCAAAAATACATAAATAATTGAAATACATTTTAGATTTTACAAAGAAAAACTTCATGCTCAATGTGATCATCTAAGCCCATTACAGTCTTGGAGTCCTGAATTAAGATTCTTTTCAACTATTAACGATTATCCTGGAAAATGTGATTTAGTTTTTACTAAACCGACAATTATCATGAAGATTGATGCAAGTATGTAGTATGTCTAACTGCATGGTTTTCTTTGAGTATTGTTTATTCAGCTGAAAAATAATCTATGTTTTATGTATAGCTGTTAATATGTATCATCACTTCTGCGACTTCTTGAATTTATATGCTTCTCAACATGTAAATTCCACTGGTCCTGACATGTTCTCAAAAGATGTACACATATTAATTTGGGAATCATTTCCATACGAGTCTGCATTCAGCGATACATTCAAAGTATTTACTAAGCATCCAATATGGAATTTAAACACATTTAGAGGACAAGTTGTTTGTTTTAACAATATTATTTTACCTTTGTTACCTCGGATGATTTTTGGCTTATACTATAATACACCGTTGGTAACTATTTAAACTATTTACCTTTATAATATTTGCGCTGCATCACCTATTTATTAAAGATAATGTATTTTTTCAATACTACTTAAAAGCTAAAATTATATGAAGCTTAACAAAAGTTTTAGTTAAATTAATAACGCATAGTTAATGGAATTCATGTTTAGAAAGAGAACAACTATTATTTAAAGAATAAAGTGGACTGCCTGTCTACCAGATACCTAGTCTATAGTGACACAGTTTACCTATCAGACGTTATTGTTACAAGTACAGTTTAAAAACCCCTTAAAAATACACAATTAATAGTGATAGTCTAAGACACATAAAATAGTTTGATAAATAATATTAAAAATATAGGAAAATATATTAATATAAATGTCTGTGTATTATGATTAAAGTATCCATCCTTCATTATTTCTGGACATATTGTTCTTAAGTATTCTTTTTTACGCATACGAGTTTTAAAAAGGCCAAAATTAATTTGGAGGCGGTACCTCTAGCACCAAATCAAAAGCCTTTTGAATCCCAGTAATTGATACCGTATTGATGTTGCAGGTATGGTGTGGTGGGTTGATAGATATTTCTTTTTTCCTCGTTTTTGTTTTCCCAGTGCTTTGTCCACCTGTTGCCTGATTGGCCATTGTGTTCATGAACATTTTTATTGAGTTAGTCGATTTGCTACTGGTTAATTCTATTTTGTTTGAGACCCAACTGTTAATTAATGAATGTGCAATGTTCGTACCAAGCCACACCGAAATAGTATAATATATCTTTCTAACCCTTACAAAAATGGTTTAAGGGGTTAGCGGAAGTCAGGATTTTAGGAATAGATGACTCGATGTAAGTAGTTAAATAATTGATATTTCTATTCATTAATCGAGTATATAAAACTCTGAATGAGTTTTTCTCGAAACTATGTTTTCAAAGTCAGGGACCACTGTAATTCAAAAACCACTTGACAGATTTGAATGAAATTTATACAGCTTATTGAAAGCATAAAAAACTAGTGCCTGATCGAAGGTTTTTTTTTAAAATTTTAAATTATACTTTTTAAAAACAATAAACTAGTGCTTTTTTCCTTGAAAATCTGCGAGTAAATGACCAGAGGTCGCCATTTTGTTAATTTTCAAAAAAAAAAAGCTTCGATCAAGCACTAGATTAACTATTAAACTAATGATTTTTTTAGGTTTGATTGATTTTAGAACCAGTAAAATTGTATGTTGGTCACCGCAAAGCACTACTTGTGAGACGGAGTCCAACATATATAGCAATAACTTGGTCTACAATAATTTTTTTTTTTTAATTCTGGTCAATAAAGTTAAAACATAATATTTTAACTTTGTATTATTTGTTATATGAAATAAATTAATCTACTGTCAAAAAAAAATTATTTGAAATACTCATTTTTTTACCCCGCTGACTACTCATAACCCCTTAATTCATATTGCACAAAACAAATCTTAGGCAAATAATATATACTTTCCTGTGGAACGTAACAGTTTTAATGTAGTAATTGAAAATTGAAAATCAAGACGTTATCCATATTTTGACAAACTTACTAAAGTGTAAGTTGTAGGACTTAAGTTTGAGTTGTGCGCTTTAGAATTGTTTATCAAAAATGGCTATAAAGTGTTGATCATTAACTTCTTATGAATATATCATATTATAATTTTTGTGAACACCGCACAGTTCCTTAAAAAATGGCATTTCTAATAATGGATTTTGATGCACTTAAAAAAAAAATTGGAGGGCCTCCTCTTAATATTATTGATCCAACTCTAAATCTTTAAAACTGCAATTCCTTAAAAATAATTAAAAGCTAATGATAAATAAGTATTTGTTTTAAATTAAATATTTACGTATTATCTGTCAGTATAAACACAGTTAAGTGCTAACACCTATGGATAAATATTGTAATACATAAATATTTAAATTTAGGTACCTATTTATGATTTTTTACAATTTCAGATAGAGGGCTGCGAAAGGAGCGGATTGTTTAAATCATTTTCTCAACATATGTTACATCGTTTAAGCATAAGTCAGACTTCTAAAAGTTTTGAAAAAATAAAAATCACATTCCTATCTCGAAATACAAGGTACAGAAATGTTTTAAACGAAAATGAATTAATTTCGGCATTAAGAAATAACACTGATTATGATGTTAAAAAGGTATGTAAAATGCGATAAAAATTAAATGAGGGTCACAAGAAGCTTTTTTTTATTTTGAAGTACAAAATTTGTATTTGATTAACCAGACAATCCTTTGTGCATTTCTTATTAAAATTTTTCTAACTATCGAACTAAATATACATTAAAACATTACATAATGTAGATTAATATGCTTACAAAACACAAATAATAAAAACATGTTTTATAGCCCTAATATAAAATATTAGTTTACGCGAAAACAATTTAGTTTATCAAAAGCTTGTGTCCCACACTTAATGTATTTATTTTTAATATACTTTAAAATATTTGTTTGATTTTTCGAAAATAATTTTTATTGTTTAGGTCATTTATAATGGAAATTATTTGAGTTTCACGGAGCAAGTACGCACAACTCACAATTCTGACATCTTTATTGGCATGCATGGTGCAGGATTAACACACTTGTTATTTTTACCAGATTGGGCAGTATTGTTTGAATTGTAAGTATTAACTTTTAGATAACTTTTATTTTACAAAATAAAAAACAAACTAAATAATTGTTGCAATTTAAGTTCTGTTTATCTTGTACCCAAGTTTTAGAACTTAACTGATTATTAAAAGACCTATTTTGTCGTTTTTTGGCGTGCTTTCTATGACAACACATACTTACCTACCATTTAAAACGGGTTTAAAAAAATTTGGAGGAATCATGTATGATTGAAATTATAGAGAAATGTAGAAATGTTTATTATGTATTTTATTTATTATAAATTATTAAAATTGAGTTATTAAAATTTAATTGATTAAAACAAAATAAGTTAAATTATTTAAACAAATTTTCAGATATAACTGCGAAGACGAGCACTGTTATAAAGATTTAGCTCGGCTCAGAGGCATAAAATACTTGACTTGGCAAGATATTGAAAAACTCCACATGGAAGATAAGGTTTGTTTGGATAATTATGAGTATACACAATATACTTGTGATATGTCGGAACGATTTTATTATTTCTTCTCTGGTATTATTGAGGCTTTAAGAAATCTTTGCAAGTTGACCTAATTTCAAGACTCATCATGGCAACTATAGTGCTTTTTGGAGATTTTCAGTTGGTCTGATTTTGATTTTTGATTACTACGTGGTTCGGTTCAGCTCATATGTTTGCTTGGTTTATCAATGGTATCAAGTAGGTGTTGTACCACCATCAAATGTCAGTCATTAGTTGTTTTTTGTGTTGATTCTGTCTATAGTTTTATAAACCACTACAAAATTATCTCAATACCTTGATCATTTGTCCACTCCGTGTTTCTTTTTATTCTATCGTATATGAGTAGTTAATTCATAGAGTTAATGCACAGTTTTCAGGTAATAGCGTTGGTGTTACATTTTATCACTTCAAATTTTCTAATGTACAGGGTCGGCCAGGGAAGTATGGTGTATTTGAAATGACTGTCACACATTATTTTTCAAACCAATTTTAAAATTAATTTTTTTCATAAATTACTTAAATATCGCCATTTGCAAAAAACAAAAAAATTAATTAACATCGAAAATTTACGTCAGTTAGATGGCGTTTCCCAGGACGCCTGATTTTATTGCGTGGGGTCTCCTCGTTCACCGGACCTATCTCCTTGTGAATAGTTTTTATGGGGCTACCTAAAAGCTCATGTTTTTATCAGTAAACTACATACTCTTGAAGCGCTTTCCAAAAACAAAACGTGGGAAATTCAAAGGATCCCATGTGCCATGCTTGAAAGATGTATGGACAATTTTGCCACCCGTCTACAAGAATGCTTTGACAAAAATGGATCCACCTGACGTAATTTTTCAAAGTTAATTTTTTTTTTTTGCAAATGGCAATATTTAAGTAATTTATGGAAAAAATAAATTTTATAATTGGTTTGAAAAATAATGTGTGACAGTCATTTCAAAAACACCATACTTCCTTGCCGGACCCTGTATATTTAACAAAGCTAACGATATTCTAGAAATTAAACTACTTGTTGGGTTCCTTGGAAAAAATTTGATTGTGTTGTATGGTTATCTGACCACCGCAAACACGCAGCTAGCTGAAAGAGTATAATGGAAACTTCTCAAGTATGAAATTTAGGTTTTATATGTGAAGTATCTACAAACCTTTACCTTGTTTCTATGTTTTAAATTTTTCAATCCCTAGTGACAAGAGGAAGCAGGCCAACTTAACTTTTTTGAAGAAACCCTTTATTTGAAACTATTGTCAAGTAGTTACTCTGCCTTGGTGTCCACAATGAACTTAGTGTTCCCCATTTATCATAAGATTAATAAAGCCAATGAAGACCTGTCTTTTTTGTTATTATCTCATTAAATTAGGTAATGATCATATTATCATCTAACTATTGTGTAGTCATTATTGGACTTTATTATTAAATAAATGATTAGAATACATGTCATTGTAATTACAAAAATCATCTTTTCATAAAACTAAAGGAGATCAATAAAACATGTGTGACTCAAACATACTCATTTAACATTTAACCATATCGGAAAAAAATTTATAGTAATCATAATAATTTTACCACTTGTAAAAAATAAATTTTTTTCATTACTGTCAAATTTGTTATCATTATTTCTATTCAGAGTAATCTAAGATAACTTATTATATGTGATTGTTATAAATGATCAATCATTTGAATTTTACTGTCGAACAACAATATTTAACAATATGTATTAAATATTTCAGAGCACATTTCCTGACAATGGCGCACATGCAAAATTTACAAATTATTCGTTTGATAAAAATGAATTTTTACGACTTGTAGCTGAAGCAGCGGAACATGTCAAAAAGCACAAACACGGTTATGGTCCTAAATCACATGATGAACTATAAAAGGAAATCATGGTGCTTAACATTATTAACCTATACAATGAAAATACTTAAATTTAATGTTAAGCTACACGTTTTTTATTTTTTATTGTTAATTGTCACTTTTTTATTTGTTTTTAATAAAATTTGTTTTTTTTTTTTAATGTTTAATTCTAATTAATATTACCTGTTTACATTAGCTTCAATTTATATATTATTTAATATTTAAAAGGATGCTACCCACCCGTAGTATATCCGCGAAAAAATGGTTTTACGGAACCAAGAATGTGAGGGCGATATTTACAGTAATCATATAAAAATTTGTACAATGGATAGAGAAGAACTTTACCAATGGGGTAGCGTTTTTAGTTTTTTAATAACTTAAGCTCATTCAAAATTATTCATTCCTGAAGATTTATTTGTTTTCTATTTGGCGTATCTATTGGACGGATTTCAAGTTTTTTTTTATGGGAGCTAAAAGGCCGAATTTTGATTTAGCGACTAAAAAAGTAGTTAGATGCATCAGAAAAAACTATAAAAAAGTAAAAATAAAAATGCTTAAAAATATTTGTTGAAAACAAAAATAAAAAATCGGCCTTTTAGCCCCCATAGAGAAATATTTTAAACTATAAAACAAATAAAAAAATATTGAAATCGGTTCGGTAGACACTTCGGAAAGTGACTTCGCGTTTTAGTCTTTATTTGTAAAAAAGTTGACGATTTCCGTTCCCCTTAAATGTAGTGTACTATAGTATTTCTACATTAAGGTTTGCTATAGTTCTGAGAATACCTGGAGAAGTCGAGGAATTTTTTTTTAAGTATAGTTTTTAAGAGTATCTAGAAATTCTAAAGTTGTTTTACCACTTATTGTAATTATTTTAAGTGTGAATGCTTTGCAATGTGTTATTATTTAAGAGTTAATCAACTATATTCTATAATATAATAGTATACTTGACCCCTTCAGAGTTCAGACTGATAGACTCTAATCAAATTATCACTGATTTAATCACTAATGACAATTTCACGTATCTACAATTTGGCAACATTTCAGGAGAAGCAAAAATCTATTTTACTTTGATTTGAATGAAGTAGTTTTACTTGTACAGTGCCGCAACTACCATTATAGAGGCCCCGGTGCAAGCTGATTTTAGAAGCCCCTATTTACTATAATGCTCGCCCAAAGTTTTGTAGGGTCCCCAATTATAAAACTAAAGTTAAACCCTATTTAATACTTACTTAATCTTAATAAGATCTGAACTATAATTGGCAGGTAGCTTCAACTTAAACGCTTGAATACTTTTTTTTTAATTACCTTTATACTTGTTACATACGTGTATAAATCAGTTTATTACAAAAACAAAAAAATCTTGAAACATATTATGATTTAAATATGTGTATGAGTTATAACATGTCAAAAAAAAAAAAATGTATGTAACAATAATTATAATTCAATTTTGGTTTATTTAAGAAAATTTTGTTTTCTTGCTTTTTTAGTAGCAAATATTTGAATTATTTTGTTTATATCCAATTCTTTTGTTCTTCCTCGTTCAATATTTAAAATACTTATGTTTATCAGGCGATCTTGAGACATTGAATTTCTTAAGTAGTTTTTTATGATTTTTAATTTTGAAAACGATCTTTCTGCATTGGCTACAGTAACTGGCAATGTTATAAATATGATACATGCACTAAAAATATCATTGTACATAGAGGCCATATCATTTTCTAAAATACATTGTAAAAAGTGTTTAATACAATGTAAATTTTTTAATGAATCCTTTAATATAGATTTAAGGGATAGAATTTGCCTTGTTATATCACTACTTAAATCATGTTTGTAAAATATTTGAAAGTCCTAAGATGCTTTTGTGATATCTTCTTCACTAAATGATAATATATTATGCGGTACCAGAAATTCAAATCTTTTAGTAACCTCAAATAATCCTTTAAATAATAATCCTTTGAATCTTTCTTGAAGTTGTAAAATTGCTGTATCTATAACTGGTAAAAAAACCATCACACGAAGATTGTCTTCAGAACTATCGAGTCTTCATCACCGGCAACATCACTAAAAATCTTTTTTGAATACACACGGCGACGAATAGTTTTTTGGATTGGTATATTCCACTTATTACATTGCTCACTTGCAGAAGCAACTAGCTCTTTATAATGATCCCTTAAACTTATAATAGAAGAAGAAGCCTCTTTTAAAAATGTACATGCATCATGAAGATTTGTATTTGGGCTCTGTAATTTTTTAGATACTAAATGGAAGTTCCTTATTATATTTTCCCAGATTGTTAGTAATAAAATAAACTCAAATGATTCAATTTTTTTTTTAGTCCAATAGATGTGCAGCGGCTGGGTGCGGGCGCGTAGATAGTATCATAATACAATAAATCTATATATAGTTTTGGAAACTTATCACTCCTGTTATTAGATAATACATGGAAATAAATGGAATAGTTTTTTTTCTTAAATAAGGTGGTTATCTGTGTTTGGTCTCCATTTAATTTTTATATAAATATTTATAGCCTTTATTTATACGACACACGTTTGGCTATCGAGTGGTCATATAATCATAATATCGATAACTACAGAAACAAAATAAAATTTATCAATTTTAAATCCAATGGCCAATGTAGATATTCAAGTGTCATCATTAAAAATACACAATCGAATACTAAAAATTGTTTAAACCTTGTTTTAAGAAATGAATGTTTAGACTTGAATTGTTATGTCTTCATAAATATGAGGCCCCTTAAACATAACCCGGAGGCTTGTCTGGCGGTGCGATGCACCGCCTGCACCGGCGGTAGTTGCGGCACTGTACTTGTACCATATTTGTATATTATTTATCCAATTTTAAATAGTTTTTTCTTATATTTCAAGCTATAATTATCAGTCATAATAATTGGGTAATTATCAAATTATTTACGTTTTTCACAGTTCAATAGTAGATACGCATTATTACTTAAACGTGATTTTGGAGGGAAATAACCGATTATATGAAAGAGTTGGGGGTAGTTCTTCCAAAAAATGATAACGCGTGATAAGAAAAAAATGTTACATAACCTATAAAATGTGTAATACTACAGATAGTACCAACATCGATTTTACCAAAAACCCGCCAAGAGAAATTTCGTATTTTAATATCAAAAACATTACCTTTAGTTAGGTTCTTATCTTTATTGCAAATTGTAGTTAGATCTTTATCAATTATCTAATTTTAATCGTATACACTATACACGTAAAATTCATAATAAATTACATTATATTATAGTATATACCTATCATATAAGTAAATGTTATGATTTAATATTATTTGGTATAAAATAATAATAATTTTATTAAAATTTCCCTCAAATTGTTTATATTACTATTTAAATAAAACATTATTTTTACTTTTTACCTAAATTAGTTAACGATTTCAGAATTTGGCTGTCAAGTATAAATTAGTTTTACCACATCTTACATATGTATTCTGTAGTTAAAGAATACAGGTAGGAGCTTATAAGCTTTGTCTTCAATCTTGTCTTTTAGAAGATATATTATTAACAAAATTTGGTACCTAAAGGATATATTAGAGCAAGATAACGGAACATATGACACTTGTAGTTTAAATACCTTACATGAATAACTAGAACAAAACACATATTTCATTTTCAAGTTTCCACATAAATCAATATATACATTATAAGGTTATAGTCCAAAGTGAACCTTTTGCCAGATAAAGACTCGTGAAGAGAAAAAAATTGTTGTACGGCCCCTTTTGCATGGGTTAATAGGTAGATAATACGAATATGGCATAATATAAAATAACTGTAAACTAGATTTAACAATTCTGTTGTATTAATAAAAATGATCAAACTTGGGTCGTAATCGTATAAACATCATACTCAATAAATATATAATGTAATTTAATAAAAACTTGCTTTTATGTTGGTGAGATTATCAAATCAGACTGATCGGTATTAAAATACCTTGCAAGACTGAATGTTATTTATAATCAATTAGTAGGGTTTTAAAATAATTATTATTCACTTAATATTTTACAGAAATTAGTTTATATTAAGCTACTCTGGGTATATATTTTTATTATATAAACCAAACTAAACAATATGAATTTGTTCTGAAATAGTTATTCATATGATTTAAAAATATGATACAATTTTTGGTCAATATAAATTTGCAAATTTACAATTATCTCTTGATTTGAAAATGTCCTTGTTTGTTAGAAGATTGCATAGCCCATATTTTATTAATCTATGTACTTATTCATTTAATATGGCCATTTACTTAGTGAATAGTTAAATTAATAATTTATGAATAATTACACCAGAAATCGCATAATATGACAATTGATACACATTAATGCGAGCGTATCAAATACTCATCACATAAATGTTGATCTACCCTTGGTATGGTACAAAGATCTTAATTAAATAACTGCAAAACTTCTTCAAACGATTGTACTGTTCCATCCTTTATAAATTAGGTATGGTACCCTCGTGTTTAATATATATTTTTCTGTTCTAGGAACTTGCTTTCTGTTGTAGTTAAATAATTTTTGGATTAAGTCCTGCCGTTTTACGGTGGACAATATTGACATAAAGCTTTTTTTTAATTATTTTAATTAATACTCTGATAATCAGATAGTATAAAAATCTATTAGAAATTAGAATACCTACTTAGGTATATCCATATTTCATTTAGATCTTTTAAAATTATATTTTCATAGATCCATAGATTTATAAGAATTTTTGATATTGCACATTTCCAAACATAAGTAGAATTAAATGTCTAAAGTGATGCTGTAAGATACTAGTGAAAAGTAATAAAATATTTTTGTACAAGCCTGGCAAAGACTTGGCTAATTATCTTTTACCTCGATTGCCTTTGTAGAAATACAATTTAAGTGATAATCAATACAATTATTTTCAATTAGATTTGTTTCTTATAGAAGTGATATTATAACTTTTCTGTTATTAATTCTGCCTACATTCCATTTATTAAGAAATGTATACTTTTCTTATATTATAAAAAAAATAGAAATAATACATATTATAAAATAAATAGATACAATTGCAAGTTGCAGCATCTCATCATATTTATTTATCTCTTATCTCGTTCTCATCGAGATCTGCTGTTAAAGGTCTT